ATCCGAAAAATTTCGTAAAGGATTCCAGGTTCGTTAAATATGCTAATCTCAAAGTTTTAAAATATAATAAATACTAAAAGTTCATTTTTTTTTTTGTTTCTTACAGAATATTATACGTTCGAGATGAAAAAAAACTTTTAAGGAAAATGAAAAATTGTTTCTTATATTATAATTTTAATAATTCTAATAAAATAATTAACGATAGAGCTAATAATAAAATTTGTTAAGTAATATCAGAGTTGTCCTTGGTAAGGTAAAAATTCATCAACAAACGGATTAAAGATGAAATCAAATTTCCAAGTCCTTCCGCTACAAACTCGACTCGAACGATTACAAATTCCTCTCACGAGCCTTTCTCTATTCTTTCCAGCATCCACTAACATAAGAATAAAAGAACGAGATAGTAACATAAGTAGATATTATTACTACTCGTTGAAAAGGAGCAGAAGGAGTATGAGTACATTCTATTCGAGTTGTTTCGTATGGTACATTACCGAAGAAAGATATATCGTACATCCTATCTTCGATATATCGGATAAAGAAGAAAGGAAAGAAAGAAATATATATATATAAATAGAGTGAGAGAAAGAGAGAAAAAGAAAAAGACAGAGAAAAAGGAAATCACTGGGAGTTAGAGGCGTTCGCTCGAGACGACGTTTCCGGTCTGAACGTCAACACTTTTTTAATTCTTGCCACTAACAACAGTGATATAAAATTTACCATTTTACAAGTATACAAATAATATTAAAATTTCAACGAAAAACTCTACGTATTATTTTTTTATTGTAAAAAATAAAGTAACATAAATTTTATAAATCTTCGTTATTTTAAAAATTGAATTAAAAAAAAAAGAAAAGTGTATCTCTACACCTTCGAAATAGATTTTATCTCACAAGATTTATAATAAAAAGAATTAACAAATTTTATATAAATATGCGAAGTATTATAAAATTTCTTAAAAAAAAAAAAATATACGTCTTAACTTGGAAGTATATTACAAGATTAGTAAAAAAAAAAGAAGAACATAAATTAGCAAAGTCAACACACATACCAAGAAACCATTCAAAGATAAGATTTACACGACACCGTATAGATAATTTATATGCATAACACGAGAAAAAGAAAAAGAAGAAGTAACGAAAAATTCTCCGATCGAAGCCCGTTCAGTAAGCTTATTTTAAACGTACGAATTTATGCGGGTGTTTCGAAAGAGCACGAAGCCATACTCTCGAAGTACTAAATTTGCTTATGAATACGAAGTCGAATGTTGGAATAACGAATACGCTTATAAACCGATGATCCGAACTAGCGAGGAATAACAAAGCGATAATAATGATCATAGTAATAGTAATAATAATAATGAATGAATGAATGAATAAATGAATGAATACAAGTTTTAAGAAAAGGACCACCTTCGTGTTTCAAGACACGCGACACGACCAAATCATGAAACCAACATTGAATTGTCTTATTCTCAACAAAAGGTATCGTTTAATTCGATGAATATTAGCAGAAAGTATTCTTTTAAACTCCCACGTTTCTTTCGTTTGTGCCACGCAAACCTTCGAGTATGTTTTGCGCACGTTAGGTACGTACATACGTATATACAATACTAAAGAAAGATATAGAAAACTGTTTCTTTTCGTGGGACGTTCAAATGCCAACAAAGAAAGTTCTACCCTAATAATATGGGTCAGTGTTTAACTTTCTCCAAAATGATCCTAGTGTCTTCTCTTTTGGTGAGTGAAATTACCCAATTTCTTTTTTTATTCGATCACTTTCATTATTTTCCACAACAAAAAATATATATACATAAATGAGTTTATAAGTTTTAATCCTAACATAGAAACAATTTTATTGTCGATCAAATTCACTTTTATTTGTCGACGTAGTCTCGAAAACTTTTGAAAAAGAATAAACTTAAAACTTTTCAACTCACCCTTTTATTCGTATTAAATCTTTGAATATAACGAATAAAATAATAATGATACTTAGTAATGGTGTTTTAGAAGCACTGCAAATTTCTAAAAAGTTTTATTATTACTTTGAAAATACAACAGACGTGATAAAAAAAAGTTTCTAATTTCGTCGAAAGACTTTTCTACCAAAAATTAAATAACAAAATTATTTACTCGCGCCGATCAAAGAGTTAACACGTGTTTCGATAGCTCAGGGATTATATATTTGTATGTTCGTTGTTGCATATTCTATAAATATCTACCACCACAAGCACATCAATTTAAAAGGCTCGGAAAGACAGTAATAGCTGCCTCTCCGTGTCGTATAACCATAATAAAAGCGGCTGGAGTTTTGGCCCTGGCGGAACGAACGAAAGAAAAATCCGTAAAAATTTTGCAACCGAGTTAAATTATAATATATCTTCTTTTTTGTTTTTCTCGAATAATTTATTAAATCTGCGAAAAATTTCCAAAATTTAATGAAAATCTCGTTAAAATATATGTTATAGTAATTTCAATAAAATTTTACAAATAAATTTTCAGTAATATTATAATAGTAATATAGTAATAGTAGTAATAGTAGT